ATACTATAATAGTTTATTTAGAGCATAATTCTATTAGGTGCACGCTTTTTCCTATGATATTTCATAAAAAGAATAGCATGCAAATGAGCAATAGCGTGGGAATAAACAACTTTTGAAGCTGCAAAGATCAGTTGTAGTCTCAGTTTTTTTTATATTGATTACTGCATTAGTAAAAAAAGGAGTGAAGACTTGGCTCAGTTCATTCGCCTGTCTTAGAGTACGCTATCCCAGTGTGGCAGGATATTCCAGATTACGGCTTCGTGTCATCTACCCTGAAGGCCGAATCTTATAGCCCTACAACTACAATTAGATTGACTGGAAATTAGAAGATTAAATTAATCTTCGAAGATTGCAAAGCAATCGAAGAGTTATTGGAGGGGGACGAGTCTGTCACTCACTCAATCACTCAATCACTCACTCAGTCACTCACTTTCCTGTAAACTTGAGCCTGCGTTATTTCAGGACTATTCAGGACTATTAATTTTTCTCGTTGTTTTCTAGTAATTTACTCATTAATTTGCCGTTATCGGTTTCCCTGTTCTACATTTTATTATTTATTCATTTGTTTTTTGGCAAAGAAAGAAATCTAAAGAAATGTCAAATCCTCTGAGTCTCGAACCTCAGACCTCTGATTTAGAAATCGAAAGCACTTCCATTCGGCCACGCGTACCAATGTTACATAATTGCAGTTAGACTTTTTTATTTTTTGTGCTCGTATGAAGTCGTATGTTACTCGTATGTAACCTGTATGTAGTCGCATGTAGTCGCATGTTACTCGTATGTAGTCGTATGTGACTTGTGGTTAGTTTTAGCAACGATCGACGTAGATGAGGGATTATGGTCAATATTATCAATCGCAGCTGTTGTGAATAGACCATTACGAAGAACAAGAGGGCATACAGCACCGTCGACTTCATATTGGAATCTTTGGAATCGCTTCAAAATGGAATCTTTTCTTAGTGGTTTCAAGGTGCCGTCGCCCGAAACCAGTGGAGCTACTAGGTGATTCTCCCGTGACTCTGCGAGAGACAATTTGTAGTGCATTTTTATAAATACGTCTCCGCAATGACCAAAATATAGTCGGCTGTCAGTATAATATGATACACTAGCTCTCTGGTTGGTTTCAATCTCTTTACGTTTACAGCACCTCAGGTATGTTTTCTGAGCGCTTTTATAATCGCAAAATTGTCTTGCGCTAACAGTATAGTCACACAATGTTTACTGCAAAGAGGTAATGATCTATTTGACCTTCTACGCTGACCTTTACGAAGTATGTTAATTTAATCCTCTTATCCTCGCAACACCTCTGCTATACTCTCTCTCTCTCTCTCTCTCTCTCTCTTATCTCAGAGCCGGTTGATTCCAGCTGTGCGTACAAAAAAAGCCATCTCCGGCTCGTAATACGATCAGCGGTTATTCCAGCGCTTTGAATTCGAAAATGGAGCATTGTCCAGGATTTGTCGATGGCGTGTTTCATTTACCAGGAGTTACTAAAGAGTTTCTGAGTCAAATCAAAGATCTTCCAGTCAAAGCTGAGGATTTGTTTGTTGCCACGTACCCTAAATCAGGTATAATTATAATTAACAAGCTTTATTCCCCATGATTTTGATGATTGTCGTTCCCGATAGATTTTTAAGCCCGAGTTGCTGCGAGTTGCGTAACCTTGAATATAAACCTTTTTAAAGGAGTTCATCATCCTTTTAAAAGGAGTTCAAGTAGACTCTCCTCCTGTTTAGCATCAAAACGTTCGAGCGAATATTGTAAGAATCCCATTTACAAGCAAAACTAACTGGAAAGTCTAGTCTTTTAGAATCAAGAGCGAATGATACTTTCGACCAATGGAAGAGAGTTATCGAAGGTCTAAGCTAGTAATAAAACTCTAAATATGTACACATTCATTCCAATACTACGAATTCGCAACTATGCAAGAATAGAAAGTTGCAGAAGTAATCTGCAAAATAATTCATTTTCCTGACGAACTGAAGTGTTCAAATGTACACCGTCACTGTGTTTGGAACATCTCAATTGAAAGGTCACGAACCCTTTATAARCATCACGATACAGCAATGTCTGTACTTCCTGTGATGACGGTATTGAAGAACGCTCACCCTATTCAATTACTACGCTTCCAAAACATAGTTAAAATTCCCTATACTGCGCAGTCTTGACTGCTTTAAGAATATTTTTAATTTYAATTTTTAAAAGATGTTGCTAAATCACACTAATCTACAATAACGTGAAAATGTCATAACCCCCTTGATCCCAGTGTTTGCAATGTTGTTTTCCGCTTTTGAAGACGGAATCGCTTGAAARTTGTCCTGGGTGAATGGTGAACAGAATAGCTCAAATACTGTAGAATTTGTGTACTTTTCTTCGTGTTGACATTTGATCATATTACCGAAAAAGCCTTCTTCGTTCTATTTCAACAAGTCCTTCAATACAAGTGACTATATCCCATGAAACGTACGTTTCAGTAAGAGTGTTTCCGCTTTGAGTGCGTGTAGACAGTTAGAAAGAGTCAGGGAAAACGTACACGATCGAAGCTCCTTGTTTAACTTGGAGATTGCGTGAGGTCTACGTGAAGCTCCTTGTTTATCTTGGCTTCTCGTAAGAAAATACAGATCTGATCCAAAATTAGTCTCCTTCGCAGCCTACCCTTTTGTCGGGCTTCCTGTCCCTCGAAGGAGACTAATCCAAAATTGGCTTTCCAGTAATCTAAAGTCGCGAGAATCGCAATAAGTTAAAACTCTAAAATTCTAATCTTCTGGCGCTGATTGTACTTTTTCACTGGGTTTTCGCTTCGATTGCGAGAACATGGCCTTAAGTCCGTATGTCTTGTCCACATTGTCGTCACTTGCATTGTTTATCTTTTCTAATAAACTTCAGATAAATTTCACAATTTACTGAGTTTTTGCTGTGATTTGGATTTCTACCATTGTGCTATTTTTTCGCAAAAATCATCCTCCGAGTTACCGGTTGCCAATGGCAGCTTGTTATAGTGCATGTTTGTAACTAGACGCTCTKGGAGCGTGAAGTCGGACTAGTTATTTTTAAATGTATAGTATGGCGTAGAATATTATATTTTTTACTTCTAATACATAGTGAARGCAAGAATRCGTSACCGTTTATTCAYACRATACGATATTCTTTTTGACTGCTCTCTGCAACGACTTCAAAACGATTTTAAACCTCGCCAGAAAGACCGACCAAAGACACCAAACATTCAGACACTATCACCGCTTCTAAAATCACCATTAAACTTAAATACTGTTTTAAATGGTTGTTATATTTTTCAAGACATTAGCGATCATCCTGGCATTAAAGAGCTCAGAAGTGATTGAACGATAACAACAGCGTGACTTAAAAGATGYTAGTGTTTCGACGTCACTCGACATTTCAACTGACAAGATGACCGATGCTAATCGATGCTAATCGATCATAATCGATATTAATTAAGGAACTTTTCGTGTGACTATCGATTAATCATCGATTATCGATATTAATCGATATTAATTAACTAATTCCATCGATTAATATCGATTAATCGATTAGGTAATCGATGATCGATTTCCATCGATTAATTACTCCGGGAAACGATAGAAATCTAAATTTGACCTAAAAGGTCATGTAATTAATACCTGCTAGACTAAATGTCGCTAAGTGATATCATATCTAATACGTTTTTAATTCAAATGTTGACCTCTCAGGCCAAGAAAATAAATACTTTAAAAAAGATGCCTATAAAATAATCAAAGTCGCCTTTTTTACTGATAAACAAAGTTTCTTATTGTTCTAATTTGAAGTCTTTGTCCAAACAAGACTGTCTAAACGCTAGAATTCAGTTTCGTCAGCATACTACTCGAAGCTCCATGCGATCCGCACATGCGCGTACTTCTGATGGCTAGACTTATGCATTCCGATGAGATCACAGATACCACATTTGTAAACGAATAGTTTTTTTATCACATAAAAGCGCAAGTCATAGTTAATTATTAAATTCTTGACTTCCGGTGGTCCAAACGCGACAAAATACACAGATAGATAGATAGATAGATAGATAGATAGATAGATAGATAGATAGATAGATAGATAGATAGACAGATACACAGATACAGCCTTTTGCAAAAATTATGAGTATTGTCTAAATATCTAAATATCATAATATCCATATACATATATTGTCCGGAACACGCGGGTTTGCTAGAATAATTCATTGTTGACATCGAGAAAATGTTCAGAACTACTAATTGTTTATTCACGCGCCGCGATATCCTTTTCTGACGGGCTTGGCGCAACAACGTCAAAACGCACGCTAGAAATCCTGTCTTTCTCAATTTTCCAAAATAGCTAGCCCGACAACACGTTTTAAGAGCATCTAGTTCAAAATATGCAAATTTTGTAAGATYTAAATAAATTTGACCTAAAAGTTCATGTAAACAACAAATAGAGCACCGTACATATCTGGCTAATTTAACAATGCATGGACCAACAAGGTATCAATTTATGAGAGTACTGGGTTCTCACCGAATCAACTTATGATTGGACGGTAAATAGAGGTTTCACTTGACGTCATGATAGAGCTGATACCAGATCAACCGACCACTTTCTTTGATTACGCGGGAGTCTTAAAGAAACGACCGATCAACTGTATTTAAGGTTACACTTGAAGCAAGTTAGTCATAATCGCAACTAAGACAAAACGGTGTTTGGATCTTTGGCTCTGGGTACAAAATTGCCAATGAAAGAAAAATGATTTGGAACTACTGCTGTCTTTGTTTGTTGTCATTTGATTGATCATACTCATCTTACGTTCTCAGGCGCGTAGCGTTACGCATATACGCACATGCGTACTGGTGGTAAGGAAATATTCGGGATTTGATGCTTTTTACATGCTCTTGATGCCCCTAAAAACGCTGGAAATCGCATTTCCAAGAGTTATTATTTCACAATTTCCAGGGGGGGGGGGAGGACCAATCCATCCCCCTTTATGCTCCCACCTTGGCGGTCCTTCTCCCCATGTGCGTACTAACCAAAAAGTCCACACTACGCCCCCCGGTTCTGCTAGAAAAATTCCGCCGTTCTTCCGAATTCGTAGCTACTCTCGCTTTGCTTGCTGTAAGAAAACACTCCACACAAACAAGCACGGACTCACCATTACACAGTGYTACATTAACACATTGTATGATCGGACATTTGAATAATTTTCATTTCTCATATTATTTAGGAACAACATGGGTTTCTGAAATAGCTTACCAGATTTTTTGCTACGGAAACATCAGTGACAGAGCAATCAGAGATCGAGTTAGCTTTCTTGAGAGCTTGAAGCTCTTTAACAATGTCAATACAAAGGAAGAACTCAATGACTTGTATTTGAATCATCCTTCACCGCGTATCTTCAAGACCCATTTACGATACCATGAAGTACCCATGGSAGATGGTAAAACCAACAAACCAAAGTACATCTACRTRGYRCGGAATCCAAAAGACACTGCTGTTTCRTTCTATCACCACTACAGGAGACTTAAATATTACAAGTTTTGTGATCGAACATGGGATGAGTTCTTTGAAATGTTCATCGATGGTCGAGGTAACAATAATGACACCACCACTTCCATCACATCTCCACTAACAACAACAGTTGCGCTAGTAAAAATGATGATGATAGTGATGATCAAGTTACTAGAAATAATTGCAATGACGATAAATATCATCATCATCATCATCATCATCATCATCATCATCAGCATCAGCATCAGCATCATCATCATCATCATCATCATCATCATCATCATCATCATCATCATTAGCAGCAGCAGCAGCAGTAGTAGTAGTAGTAGTAGTAGTATATTGTATATTGTTGTATATTGTTTTTCAGTTGAATACGGCAGTTGGTTTGATCACGTGCTTGGATGGTGGGCTCATCGTGATGAAGACAATRTTCTGTTCCTWAAGTACGAAGACATGAAAAAGGTAAACAACATTGTGCAATTATGATTATGAATGAAGTTCACATTTTTTGTCTTCATATTCAGGACCTGCCTTGTGCTGTTCAACAAATAGCCAAGTTTCTGGGTAAAGATTTATGTCCAGAGATGATTCAACGTATCGCTGACCAAACAACCTTTACTGCCATGTCTGATGGCAAAGGACGATTCTACGATGGTGATCCAAACGGCCTAAAACTAAGAAACCCGGGTACAACAAAATTCCTTCGAAAAGGCGAAGTTGGTGACTGGAAAAGCTAYTTCACAGATGAACAAAACCGACGATTTGATGAAATGTACGAGCAGAGAATGGCTGGGAGTGGACTTGATCTAGAGTTCTGAAATGTATTTTTGACTGAACAGTCAGTTCGTAGTAACTTCAATCTTGTTTTGGGAAATTCAAAAACACCTTTACTCCAGTCCTTGCGCTTGTGTTCTAAGCTTCAATTTTTTTTTCACGGAAGGAAAAAAAATATTTGATCTTACCTCTAGTGTAATTTAAAATTGCTCTCTAATGCAAGTGTCAGTAAAGAAATACAATATCATAATATAACGTAATGATTATGGGCCAGAAAAATATCAATTTTGCCTAGTGAGATGCTGCAGCACAATTAAAGTTAAAGAAAACCCGTGCAAGGCATGTGTCTGGTGTAAMTGTTTGTATAGGTAATAGCATGTTTTGTAGTGGTATTTGGGATACTGAATACCACGCGTGATATTTCAACTGAAATTGTCGAACAAAATATCACGAGCGAAGTGAATCAAATTGCACTTTATTCAATCATATTATAATTCTTAAAATGCCTCTTCTATGATTTCTTAATGTAAAAAACGACTTACCATTTCCTTTATATGAGTGAACTGTTATCTTGTTCTTCGGATGCAAATGGGGTGGTGTATTGTCAGTATTGTCTTTGTCGAGATCAGCTATGACAAGATCATCACTGTTTTCATCATCATCGTAGAAGAGGATGATGGGAATGACGTTGAAATTCAGTAACTATGTGGCACTTTTGCAAATATTGCAAACATTTTCATATGATAAAAATTATTTTTCACTTTGTTAATGTGAAGATATGCGAGTTTGATTATATTGTATGCTTAACGTCTCTCTCTTAACATATGTAGTTTTATACCTTATATTTGATGAGTCAAGCTTGTATATGGCAAATKACCCCCTTTAGAATGTCTTTTAGTGTAACTAGTTCCCCCTTTTTTGCCTCCTTAAAACGAGTGATCCTCCTCAAATCCTCACACACCCCAGGTGATAAATAATGATGATCAGTCAGTCAAATGTTAATAATTTACGATAAAAAAGAATTCTTCAATAACCATAGCTAGAGGTTGAATTAAAATAACAATTGGCATTCTTGTTTTCTCTTTAAGGAGAAGACTTTCTACTGGAGCAGAAACTTGACTTCGTTAGTGAATTGTATTAAAAAATGGATTTCATTTGAACAAAAAAATGCATGAATCTAAAGATTCATATTTGCCATTGATTCGTCTGCGGCTCGAATCGATATATCCCCATAAACGCGCACTCTCTTTCTATATACAACACATAGGTTCACCAAAAGACATTAATTGGAGGCATTGCAAGTGCTGGTGTGATAAATAATTCATAATATAACTGGTCGTAATATTACGGTTAAAACACTGGCTATAGCTGGCTCATGACCACTAGCTKCAGTAATCAGCCCACACGAATAATTGATCAGCCCCGCACTCCCCTGAAAAATTCAAAGCCGCCCTAGTTTCATGAACATTTATAAGTAATATTACTATTTAGCATGGCTCTGAGGGAGATTAGGGATTAAATGTCCCCGAGGAAGCCGAGGGCAGATAAGTTGAAGTACAGGGCGGAGAGACTTTTACTTATCTGCCCGAGGGTGAGGGACATTTAATCCCTAATCTYCCGAGGAAGCCATGCTATTACTTATAATTATACCATGATCACCTCGGATTCTTTTGTCTTCCGTATGTTTACAAGCGAACATCCCTCCCTCATGCATAATAAGATGAAGGACGATTACCAGTAACGGTCCCTCATGTTATTCATGAGAAGATTAGACTAATCGCCCCTAGAATGAATGARTGTYCCTACAGCTGTCTTCTTTTTATCTCTGCAATGAACGGTCTCGTTATCGTCTCAGTCACATCTGAAATGTGGGATGATTTTTGGGCCAAATTGGCCGAGTAGCTCTGGTTCCGAGTCTCTACTTCGTACCGCTGAGAATGTGACGGATTTCAATGTTTGATAATAGTTGATAAGCTTCTTGGCATTATACTTGCAAATATAAAACAACTTTTCGSGGTTGAAGTTAAGGTTCGTTAACTTCAGCATTGAATAGAACTGAAAAGAAATTGTTTAATAGTTCATTGTGGGAAATCAGTGACAATGGTCGGATTACCAATATCATTTTGTACTGTTGTTCTGCGAAAACCTTTTCAATGACACAATAAAGAACTTGATACTCTTAAGAACAGTGCGTATCCATTCTTTTCATGTCACATTCCAATTCATGCATGAATTGTGTCATGCAATGTTTATATTACTTCTGATTGAAAACATTGGAGCAAGCCAAAAAAACAAGAATTTAAATTCGCTCAAGTTCAACTTCAATATTTTCCTCGGAAATCATGGTATTACGTGAGTTAAATGCTATGCCACGTGTTTGATTGGGCCCCGGAGTGCACAATTGGTTAGGGASCGTTCATTATTTATGGRGGCAGGRGGGTGGGTGATAAATTAGCAAAGGTAACTTTTTTTTAGCCCTCCCCCTACAATACACTTTTTTATTCAATGACCCCCCTTATCCTGGATAGAAATACTTCGCCCCCTCCTAAAAAAAGATAAATAAATAAAAATAAAAAAATAAAAAAAAAATTACATAAAAATAATAAAAAAAATATTCCTTCATGTCACTCTTCAAGTACGAGTTGTAGTATACACTGAAAATCGGTGTCATTGTTTGTCAACTATATGTCATTTTATAAAATTTTTGATATATAACACGCGCTCTGATTGGCTGACGACCGTGTTTATATCAGAGAACAGAGACACGGCTTACCGGCAAGATTGTCTTTTCGCTCGAAAAATTTTATAAAAGAAATATAAAACGTCCGCTTGTGTCTCTGTCCTCTGATATAAACACGTTGGGAGTTGAAAAACACTCGAGAAGCAAGAGAAACACTCGCTACGCTCGTGTTCCTAAGCTTACTTCTCTCGTGTTTTTCGAACTCCAACCGTGTTTATATCAGAGGACAGAGACACGCGCGCCGTTTTATATTTCTTAAATCTAGGTGTCTTTTAACTTAGTCCTATTCCTCATAGTCCACATCACTTACATCACTGTCAGTATCTCTGTTCTCGACAGCTTTGTGCTGTGTGAGAAGTGGTTGTACTTTAGGTGTTTGCGACCTGCATATGTGACAAGTTATGTGCTTCTTGTTCTAAGTACATTATAAAACTGTAAAATTATTGTGCTTCGTATTATTTTACTTGATTATATATTTTTTAAGTCCCCCCCTTAATAGCTTAAAAAATATTTCAAGACCCCCCAATTAATCACCCATCCCCCCTCATAAATAATGAACAGTCCCTTACTGATTTACATTCATAATCATGGCCGAACATCTAAAGCGCACTCCATACATCCATCCTAATTTTCATGGATTTATTGATGGTGTAATTCATTTACCAGGGGTCACTAAAGAGTTTCTGAGTCAAATCAAAGATCTTCCAGTCAATGCTGAGGATTTGTTTGTCGCCACGTACCCCAAATCAGGTACTAAATATAACGAAGTGTCTATATGTCCGGGACCCTAACAGAGTGTCAGAATGTCCGGGAGAAGTAATTTACCAAATTCACGGGAGAATGTAAATCCAATCTAATTAAAGATAWTTTACTGTACTTAGGTGCAGATAKTCTTCCTTTTGACCTAATTCATTTGACATTTTAAAGCTTCTTCGCCGCTCGGCATAGTTACAATAGACGTGGCACTTTTTCACGGTCTCTGACTCCCGGGCAGAATGTCACGAAAAACTAGATGTCCGGGAGTTAAAATAATTTACTAAATTCACAGAAAGTTGTAAACACTGTTAAGGTGATAGATCTWTAAAATCTTGAATATAACATGTCTAAAGCGAGTTATTGAATTATGATGAAGGACAACTTAAAAATTAGATCACGGAACAACGAGCAGGAGACGAGAAATTTGAATTTATCATAAATTTGAATTTATGATAAACTAGACGCTCCTGGAGCGTGAAGTCGGACTAGCTATTTTTGAAAATTGATAAACACGATAAGATTATGATGCTATATTCTGTCTAATCATATGATTATATCATGAATGTAAATTATGGCGCAGAATATACATTTTTTATCAAGTTCTAATACATAGTGAAAGCAAGAATGCATTACTTTCACTTTAATTAATGTACTGTTCAAAACTGTTTATTCACACGATACGATATTCTTTTTGACTGCTCTCTGCAACGACTTCAAAACGATAGAAATCTAAATTTGGCCTAAACGGTCATTAATACCCTGCGAACAGAGTGTATTTTACCTAATACAACTGAACTGATAAAATCAAACGTGGTAGACTAAATGTCGCTAAGTGATATCATGATATCTAATGCGTTTTTAATTCAAATTGTTGACCTCTAAGGCAAAGAAAATAAAATATTTTTTTTTTGCCTGTAAGTGAAATATAGGCCTGAGGCCTGTATAGACGGAGCGCAAAAAAGATCGAGATCTGATACTGATTTTCCCGTACATGCATACGAGGAAGCCACTATTGAGCTTAAATACATCCTTAATATATGGTTTTTGTAGAGTTTATTGTGCAGCAGAATTAATGTATAGGAAAAGTCTTAAATCACCGTTTGCCTAATGATCAGGTCAAAAAAGCATCTTATTATTAATCTTATTTGTCGCCATTCTATACATATAGGTACAACATGGGTTTCTGAAATCGCTTACCAGATTTACTTCGACGCAAAGGTTGATGCCAGGTCGATCCATAAACGAGTGATGTTTGTCGAAAGTTTGAAATATGGCGACGTTATCGTCGAGACAAAGGAAGAACTCAATGACTTGTATTTGAATCATCCTTCACCGCGTATCTTCAAGACYCATYTRCGATACCATGAAGTACCCATGGGAGATGGTAAAACCAACAAACCAAAGTACATCTACTTGGCGCGGAATCCAAAAGACACTGCTGTATCGTTCTATCATTATTACAGGAGTTTAAAACCTTTCGAATTTGATCGAACATGGGATGAGTTCTTTGAAATGTTCATTGATGGTCGAGGTAATAAATAGAGGATATTACATGGRCGCGCAGAGATACGGATTTTATCTTCGAGTGTTGAAAAGCTCTCTCACGAGTGAGCGTAGARAAAGAGTGAGAGATTTTCAACACGAGAAGATAAAATTCGTATCTCCAAGCGACCATGTAATATTCTAGTGTTTATCATATAATTACATATGAATTACATATGAGCAAATTATGTCGCAAAATACTTTTTTTCTTACTTCCACTATATAGAGAAACTCCGAATGTAATTTTCACTAGTGAAAATATCAATTTAACGAAATGGAGAAATATAGGTATTTCATAGATAATTATATGATAAAATACTGAATAACAACGATGAGATGTATGTTTTTATGGTTCYCTAGTCGTAAGACGGAAATCCACTATATTGAAAGAGGAGGAGGTTGACTTTAGAAAAACGGCAAAGTCTGAAGTCAAACTGATTCTGCTTTAAAGAAAACAATTGTAAACAAACAATAATGAGTCTCAGACGTTCCTTCGGTGAACTGTTATTTTTGACGTCAGAATGAAGAGCATCAAAGTTGATCAAGTCCCGCCAACCAGGGTATCGTTTTCAGCGATTTTACTCTGGAACTGGGTATCGTTTTTAACAATTTTACTCTGGAACCATGTGGAACAGGGTATCGATTTCAACGAACAGGTTCAGGGTTTCCGGAATTATTGATGCTGGGTAAAAAATTAACGGGGTAAAAATTCGGTCTACATGCAAGCTAGTGCTGGATTTTACTCTGGAACAGGGTATAGTTTTCGGCGATTTCACTCTGGAACAAGGTCAGGGCATTGAGGTCCCAGCGGCACACCCCCACCCAAGTTGAGGGGGAGTACCCCTCCCCCCACCCCCCGGGATCAAAGTTAGCAATTTATTTGATTGACGGCAGCAAAAGCACTAAAACGGTTAATGTTCGGCAACTAGAGTTGCATGGAAAACCTCTATAAGTATAATGAACTTTTAAAAAATCCATTTGAATAACCTCCGTAAGCAGACGTTCCGGCCAAGCGGTTAATTGAACCGAGGAGACTACCCTTACGGAGGCTTACGGAGGCTAACCTTTTAAGGTGTTGCAAAATAACCATATTGGGGGGTCCTGCATCGTTATAAAGTGAAMATTCAGAATGAAAGCAAATCAGTACAAACCATGCAAGTTGTGACAACGTATCAGAGACAGCTCTATAAAACAATTGATTTCCAAGAGTTGTTTTTAACCAACCTTCTAAATTTGAATWTATTCGCGAATTGCACCGGGAATTGCACTGAAACAGCGGCCATTATGATGG